GCACATAACAACAACAACATCTTTGTCGTAAAGGGTCTGTATAATGTGTCTGCCTAGTCCACCAATTGTCAAGAGTTATGGGCTTTCTAGTAAACTTTTTTCTATTTTTCCAACTCCTATTGATGTTCTAAATTTGCAGTATCATTTTTAATTTTCAAATAACTGCTTGCCTGTTCCTTAAGAAAAAAATACCTTTTGTTAATATGTCCAAAATGACTTTTATCTGAGGATTAAAAACAAAACAAAAAAACTATTTTCTACTTTGTTTCTTTAAATTTCCAAACGAAAATATGTGGGACTTCTGTGTGATAGGGTCTCAGTTCTACTTACTTGTAGATACTGATGCTGAATGTCAGTATCTACAAGCCATTTCTTTAAAGTATCATTTGCTTAATTTCTCCAGAGAATAAAGTTTTGAAAAGTTAAAGAAGGAGAGACAGGAAGGTGCCAAGGATTCCAGCATTCTGCAAGGAGCAGAGAAGGGGCGGTGGCATTTCAACATCCAATATGGAAACTTTTTAACTCAATTTATCTGTAACCTTAAAGGTTTAGCAATTCAAACAAAATGTGTCCTTGGGTGGCACAGTTACACACTGAATTACTAACTTGAAGATTGGCGGTTAGAGCTCAACTGGAGGCACCGGCTTCTGAAAGGTCACAGCTGTGAAAACTCCGTGGCGTTTTCTACTTTCACACAAATAATAAAAGGCTTAGAACAATCCCTGAAAAACAGCATTCAATAAGTAAGTATTCACTGTAACTACTGCTCTCCTAGTGAGTTCAGTCATCTCTCTTGTTTTGTCTTTGTGGGGTCTTACACCATTCCCGTTCTGTGATTAAGGTTTGGGGAAGAAGTAGACATTCCTAGGTTTAATATTAACTTAAAATGTAAAAACAGTTTTCATTTTTAAAACGAGTTTTGTTAAGAATTTTCTGGGTGATTTTGGATACTGTTGCCTTGTTTCCCAGCTCCTCGGAAGCCAAAGATCCCCTGTTCTCCAAACAGCTCTGTAATTGTACACTTGGGGTGGCTCCTGGTATAATCCAATGGAATGCACTGTAGCCTTGAGTCACACATTTCAGTTCCAGCGTTTTCCATCTGTATGATCTTTTCCTCTTCTGTTAAATGGGCCAAGAGACAGTTTTAGGGCAAAATGTACCTGGCAACATACAGGATTCAAACATACAGGATCCTATCCTAGAGCCAGAATGGTGTGCGCCTCCTTCCAGAACTCTGCTAGAAGCCAGTGCCCTCAACAAACATGGCTGCAGCCTCAGCTTCAGCCCTGCTCTGGAGGCCGCGCTGCCGCCTGGGAATCGCGGGCTCGGCCCGGAACCACGCGACGCAGAAGGCGCTCAAGGCGGCTGGTCTGGCGCGCGCAGTCCAGCTTTGGCGGTCGGAGTGAGGTGGGGGCTGCGTGGCGTTTTCCGGCGGGTCCGGCCTTTGCGCGTGCACGCACTTGCCGGCTCGTGCTCCCGCTCCTGGGCTCCGCGGGTGAGAAGCTGGGAAGGAGGAAAGTGGGGGCGGGCGAGGGTGCCCCTTCAGGAGCCGGGCCTGCCTATTAGGGGCGCTCCCTGTGCCTTGCTGCCATTCCCGGAGCCAGCCGGGGGAGGTGGTCTTGACCGCACTCTGTTTGGCAGGGTCCAGCTGTGGAGGAGGACGGGGCAAGTGGTCCCCAGGAGCAGGAGTCCCCCTGGAAGGCCCCGTCGCGCCCCCCGCGGGCCACCCTGGGCGGCATCTGCACTGTGATGGATTCTTGAGAGTTTGATTGGGTTTTCTTGGTCTTTCCAATCGGAACTGGAGTGAGAGTCAAGCTGGTGGTCTTCAGTCATTTAGAGTGTGCTGGGCTGACGTTCAATGCAGACAGGAGATAGTCGTGATTCCTGGGTGTGCGCATCTGGGAAGCCGAGAGGCTGCCTCGTAAAGGAGACCAAGTCACGAAGGGTGCGATTTAGTGAGGAGGGACGCTGGTGCGTTGGGCGAGTCTGTTCATTTAAGCAAGTGCTCATGCCCTTCTGGCCCTGTAACAGTCTACCAGATTGGGAAACTCTGACCCATGACGTTTTATCTCACTGTGGGCCCCATAGTCGTCAAACTGAAGAAATGGAAGTCCAAAGTGTGTCAGAAACCCCCAGAAGCGTTAAAAATTATAGTTGTCATCATTTCGTTAACTAATACCAGGTTCAGAGCCTCAGCCTCCGTAGTACGAGAGCTGCTTTGTTGCTAGATAGAAGTTTTTAATCGTGAGTGAAGAATTGATTGGCATCATTTTTGAGAACGGTTTAAGTAAGCCTTTCTTTTTCTTCTAGGGAAGGAATAATGCCGGCAGCATGTCTGCACATTCCATGCTCTGTGAACGAATCGCCATAGCCAAGGAATTGATCAAGAGAGCAGAGTCCCTTTCCAGATCAAGAAAAGGTGGTATTGAAGGTGGTGCAAAGCTATGCAGCAAACTGAAGGCAGAATTAAAATTCTTACAAAAAGTAGAAGCTGGGAAAGTAGCTATTAAGGAATCTCATTTACAGAGCACGAATCTGACGCATTTAAGAGCCATTGTGGAATCAGCGGAAAACCTAGAAGAAGTTGTGAGCGTTCTTCATGTCTTTGGTTACACAGATACATTTGGAGAAAAGCAGACCCTTGTGGTGGATGTAGTTGCAAATGGTGGTCACACTTGGGTGAAAGCCATTGGCCGAAAGGCTGAAGCTCTGCACAACATTTGGCTTGGCAGGGGCCAGTATGGTGACAAAAGCATCATTGAGCAGGCTGAAGACTTCCTCCAGGCCAGTCACCAGCAGCCAGTGCAGTATAGCAACCCTCACATTATCTTTGCATTTTACAACAGTGTCTCCAGCCCCATGGCAGAGAAGCTGAAAGAAATGGGCATATCTGTGAGAGGGGACATAGTGGCAGTTAACGCTCTGTTAGACCACCCTGAAGAGCAACAACTGAGTGGGTGTGAATCAGATGATGAGGGCCCGGAACTTTGGCAGGTGACCAGAGTAGACCGAGCAAATATACTGGCAAGTGTTGCGTTTCCAACAGAAATCAAGGTCGATGTGTGCAAAAGGGTCAATCTGGACATTACGACTTTAATTACATACGTATCTGCCCTCAGTTATGGAGGCTGCCACTTCATCTTCAAAGAAAAAGTCCTCACAGAGCAAGCAGAGCAGGAGAGGAGAGAGCAGGTTCTACCTCAGCTGGAGAAATTTATGAAGGACAAGGAATTGTTTGCTTGTGAATCTGCTGTCAAGGATTTTCAGTCAATTCTAGACACCTTAGGAGGACCTGGGGAGAGAGAGAGGGCCACTATGCTAATTAAGCGAATCAGTGTGGTGCCAGACCAGCCTTCTGAGCGTGCCTTGAGACTAGTGGCTAGTTCAAAAATCAATAGCCGCTCATTAACCATTTTTGGAACTGGAGACACCCTAAAAGCCATCACAATGACTGCAAATAGTGGTTTTGTCAGAGCTGCTAACAACCAGGGTGTTAAGTTTAGTGTATTTATCCATCAGCCCAGAGCACTTACTGAGAGCAAAGAGGCCTTTGCTACCCCTTTGACAAAAAACTACACAACTGGCAGTGAATACTAATAATATCCTTTAAATGTTCTCATAGAAGTAAGTTATCTAGAGACCAAAGTTTCAGTCTTTCCATCTAAATTGGGAGGGGGGAGAATGGTTGTTAGTACAGATAATTCATTATAATTCTTAAACCAGTAGTTTTTTGTATCTCATACGTATTTAAAGTGTATAATCTTTTAAAGTTAAAAACACCCAAGAAACAACTTTCTCAAATTGTCTGTTAGAGCAAATTAAGAACAAAACCACACCTACATAAAGCTTTTAACTGTAGTGCAATAGTTTAATTTGTCTGATTCAGTAGGGTTAAAATCTGCCACCCACCCCTACCCTGCCGCCCTCAATAAATAATCTCATTTCATGGAATATGGCTACACTACATCTTTCATTAAATATTTGGAGATAATTCTCAAGCTTATTTCTATTGTATTTGAGTTATCAGTTCATGTGGGTTGAGGATGGGCGATAATACTTTATAATTAATGTTAGATTTGAACATTTTGGCCATTAATGAAAAACTTATTTTGGCATATTTACAAGTACATAATACAGAAAACATGAAAATAAAGTGGATTCATATCATGGGAGTCCCATGAATCTATATACCTTGTTAAAAGCAACATTAACATTCGAAGGTAGTTAAAAAAAAATATTAATTGAATAAATTGAAAATATAAGACACTTAAAGAATTATAAAGATTTTATTTTTAAGTGCAAGTAATCCCCATACTGCAATTCTTTGGATTGTAGATACCACCTTCCCTGTTCCTTCTGCAAGTAGCAGAAGTGAGGGATGCCTTGATACTGTCTCTTAGAATGACAGCAAGGGGAGATTTCATGCTTGTTGCATGACACAAGTTGTAATCTCAAAAATTTTTATGTGAACTTTGCAAAAAATATATGTATATATATTCAGCACATTTTAAAAATTGGGAAATGGAATGTTTATTAACTATGCTAAGTGTAGGGACCAGTATGAGAACCTGAGTTTGTATCAGAATAGCCTGATTTTGTTCTGCTGTGCCAACTTTACTACTTTGTAAGAAGGCCAGCATTAAAAAGACCTCTAAGACCACGGATATACAGTGACTGGAGATTAGTTATAGGGAAAATATACATAGAAGGGAGCTTCAAAAGTTCATAAAAAATTCAACCATCTTTTAATTCCGTTTTACTACAAACTGATTGATGCTCCCTCGGCTGCTAATCCAAAGGTCAGTAGTTCGAATCTATCAGCCCTTCCTCATGAGAAAGATGTAGCAGTCTGCTTACATTGAGATAGCCTTGGGAAACCTATGGGGCAATTCTTCCATGTCCTGTAAAATATCTTAAGTTGGAATCAACTTGACATCACTGGGTTTGGTTTTGGTTCTTAAATATGTTATTTTTATAAATTTGGGAAATCTCATCAAAACATTGTCTTGTAAGTGCCGACGAGTTGATTCCAACTCATAGCGACTCTATTTAGGGTTTTGAAGGTGGGTTTGAACTGCTGTGGTTCATAGACCAGTGCTGATCCTACAGCACTGCACCAGGATATAAATTAGGATTTAGAAAATAGAAAACCTAAATAACTAATGGTCATTGGGAAAATTTGTTAAAATTAAATACCTCCCAAATATTTCTAGACCCAGATTGTTTTACTAAAGAAGGTGGTTTTTATTTTTAAATATCAGATCATTTTCTTGCTCTAAAAATCAATATGGATCCTAACACTGTGTAGGAGTCCTGGCGTGGTGCTGTAGGGTAAATACTGAGGTTAACAGTTCAATCCCACCAGCTGCTCCTTGGGAACACTGTACAGTGTTGCTATGAATTGGACCTGACTTTGATGGCACTTAAAAACACTGTAAGGGTCTTAGTGTGGCCCTGCAGGACAAGAAGTGGACTGCTAACTGCAAGGTTAGTGGTTCAAACCCATCAACTGCTCCTTGGAAACAATACAGAGTGGCTATGAGTCGGGAGTGACTTGACAGCACTTACCAACACTATAAGATAGGTGTGAAATACTTAACATAGTAAAGTGTGTTCCGTTTACACCTCTGCCCTGTCACAAGATTCGAACTTTGGCCCATGTCTGTTTAAGAACAGCTTTGTGAAAGGCCAGAACCAGAATATAAACTTGTGATAGCAGGATGGTAGTCTATGGACACTGCTGTATTAGGAACTTTTTCAAGTTTATTTTATGGAATAAGCCTAACTTCATACTAAAACCTGACACGATAACAAAAGAAGGCGGCTACAGCCATTTCCCTCCGGCTGAGATCCAGAACCAACCGGCACTGAGATGGGGTGGTGGGAGCAAGCTTGTCCTGTTAAGAATATCTACACAAATATCCCAGAGAAATGCTAGCATTAATATCAGCAACTTAATACTACCAAGTTGTCATATCCTCAACCTTAATCTTTCGGAGTCAGGCACTGCCTTCATGCTAGAATGGGATCAGTCTACTTGAGAAAAGGAGGTAATCCCATGAGTCTTGCATGAAGCCAGAAACTAAAAGCTGAAGTCCCGTGAACGGGTCTTGTAGACTTTGTCTAAAGGAGAGAGCAAGAAAGACTAGCGGTTCTAGGTTGGAAAGTAAAGAGTTTTGACAGAAATCACAGCCCCCAGCATGTGCCCTATATAGATTGAAAGTCTAATTTTCAATTGATATCACTGTGAAGGAAACTCGGGGAAGTGCAATTAGTATAAAAATTGGTCCCAGGCAAGAACTGCCCTTCAGACACCTGGCAGAAACGCAGCATCTTTCTGAATTTGGGGACACCAATTTCACTGGCTCCTATAGAAAAACTGTTGTGGTTAAGTCATGTCAAGTCGATTCCAACTCATAACAACCCTGTATATGGTTTCTGAGGAGCAGTTGATGAGTTTGAAATGCCAATCTTGTGATTGTCAAGTGCTTATCCTACAGCACCACACCAGGACTCCTAAGCTTTGCTTAAATGAACTTCAAGTGAAAAATAATAAAGGCATCTGAGGAAACCTTCCAGCAAGAGTGAGTCAGCAACACAAGAAAGTCTTAGTTTGGGGAAAATATGAGATAGTAGAAAAATAATCTGATATATAAAGTAAGATTTGGAGTCCTTAAAAGCTCCACAAAAATAGAACATGTCTACTCTGAGAAAACAAAAAATCAAAATAGTAGCAACTGGAGGTTAAAATACTACCTGTAATAAAACAGTGACTATAGACACGCAGAATATGGATTATTGCTGGCAGCGGTTGAGGGTAGAGAACAGCTTCACTTTTGCCACTTGACACAGTTCCAGAAAATAGAATGGTCATCTTGCAAGACAGATGGCTCTCAGAAGTCGCTTTCTACCTTCTCTTTAGGGTAATCCTAAATTTACTTGTAAAAAATATATAATGTGGCCATATTCACAGCCTTTCACTATGAGTTCTATAAACCTTAGGAAAAACTGGCTTAGCAACAATTGTTTTAGCTTCGGTGGATTGACTACAAAGAAAATTGTGTAAATTACTCCCTTTCATAGAAGACCTAAGTAACCGCATTTGTGAGACCACAAAAGCAGATAACAAATTAGAGTCAAGCTGACCTACCCCTATAGACCTCACCACAATCAGTCACTAGCTAGAATTCTCAAACCCCTACATACAAGCACCTCCATGAACAAGCAGACAACAATGAACTCAAGTGAAGGATAGTTTTGATTTGATAATCTACACTTCTTTCAGCAATTAGCCAGGTTGGGCTTTATGCCACATAGCTTCCAAGCGATTTAATGAATACCTTTATTATGAAAATAATAGTATATTATGTAGGATAGAAGGTTGATAATCTTTTAGTGGAAACAAGAAGAAACATTTTATTCACATACTGGGAAAGGAGATGAAGGTCA